ACCGTGAATGACTGAGAACTTGTCCGCTGAAAGTGACTGAGTACCAGTAAGATGATTTAGCTTAAATGTCAGTCTTAATCTGCATGTGTTGAGATCTCTCACTCGTACTACTACTGGAATCATATTCAAATCAGATGTGAGTGGTAAGCTAAGGACTTGGAGCAGGATCGAGTGCACAAGGTATCCGAAGAGATGGTGGCGTTAGCGCGCGTTTGTGGCGCCACACCTTTCAAGCCTTGAAGCGAACATCATCGGTGCAGGGATTGCGAAGACTATCTGGCTCTGATGTGATCCCAGCATTCAGTGTACTACAGGAGCCGAGCATGGGCAGTCTTATAAGGGCTGGTGAGCAGCCGCCACAGACTGGACACGGACTCCCCCGGCCCCCACTATGCTCCTCCCCTCACCGATAATTAATCGTCCGCCGACTCGGACGTCCATTACCCGTCTACTTACCCGGACCTAGTACCATCACTCGCCGATCACCATCCCGATCCGCCGTCGCCATGAACGTTCGACCTTGTATGTATATGTGGTCAGTATATCCCTCTGTCGCTGCCGTCTATACTCACCATTTATCCGTGTCTTGACAGGTGCTGTGGACAAGCTGCCATCGGAAGTGAGGACGCGGGCATACGCAGCTGAACTGTCAGTACTTTCCCAATTGAGTAGCTGCCTCAGGCGCTCACTCGCGACGGGCTCAGGCTCGCGTTCAGCTTGTGGCCATACCCATGAAGTCATGCTCGACTCCGAGTCGGATGTAGCTTATTGTGAAGCAACGAGGTGCGTCAGCGAATCTACAATCACGTATGCAACAGACTGTTGATCTCATGCAGGATTCTGGCATGTCCGAGTCGACGAAATTGCAGCCCGCCGAGGGTCCGGACTCCGTTCGGAGTGTCAGTGTGCCGGTACTAAGTGCTCTCATTTAACATTAGTGTGCGTTGCTCACGAACACAGCCCCGGACGTCAAGTATCAGTGTCATAGACTCGTAACGGCCATGTGGTTGTTGCGTATCCGCATATGGTATGTCTGTCAGTTGCAGCGATCGGTATGACTGTACTAACGAACACAGGTCAACAGGCATGAAGTAGTACGAGGATACTATAGCACTCCCACGTTTGATGTGCCTAATGAGGTGAGTACCACTACTTGAAGGGCACACGTCGCCGGTCGTGCTCACACGCAGTGTATATGTAGTCGCACCTTCTGTACTCGGCCAACGGAGTACTGGTAGTACAACTAATGGCGGCGCAGGCGGGTGTCACCCGAGGCGCGAGTGAGCACTTGTCACGTCAAGTTAGAGCTGTGTCGTCCACGGCGTGAGGATCCTGCGGCTGGCATATTGTAGGTGTCTTGTTGTCCGTTATGTCTTGCAATAGACTGATCATCGCGTTCTCAGCCCATTGACGTGTCCGATTAATGTGCATAGTCGGGTAATGAACATTGTCATTTGAGCCGTACTCGAGCTATCAGTTGCAAGGGGTATCGATCCCCAAGTCTTGCATTTGATGAACATGTTCCAAGGTCAGTCAATGCCACAGCTATCCTGGAACAGCAATATATATATGGAACGCCGTCCGGCGAGCGAGGTATTACGGCCAGGTTCGTGGTGAACGTCGATCGGTCCACGTCGATGCACTGACCCAAGTTTGTTTGATGTAGCTTCTGACTAACGTTAAACGAAGAGTGCGTCCATCGTGCGGTATGCATCCTGTTCGAGTCGGCCATGCATGGTAATGTATATATGGATCGTCTTCCCGCGAGCGGGCTCTCCGTGAGGGTGCGTAGGTAGCCATATCCATACTCGCAGTGACACTGACTGACATTCGATGAGCAGGGGTGTCCTTCTAATGTCATCCGAGGACGATCCGGGCCAACAACAGGGAGCACGTCGACACTGTCAGGCTCCCGGACGTTCTCAGCTGCCCCGCTTGTGACCGCGGCCGACCGGCGCGCGGGTAGTCGTGTGGTCATGCGCGACGAGTCATGAGCAACGACGAAGGCAGCACTTGTAGGGCTGCGAGACTGGCTAGTAAGTGTGTCAACATGCATTGTGATAATTAGACTCTGACGGGATATGCGCTGGGCGGAGCTTCTCGCACTTGCTATGTACAACGCCTCGAACAGCGATGTATATATGTATCGATGTCCGGCGAGCAACGTCTCGGGCCATGTACTGGGTGCGTCGTCGATTAACTCTACCTGCTGACTTTGTAGTGCCCGGACCAGCAATGTATGTATATATCGACTTCCGGCGAGCGACATCCCGGGCTGTGCGCAAGGTATGTCGTCCATCTGACACCGACACTATATCACTGACATGACGTGCCGTGTCGCCGCTGACATGCGCGTGCAGGATCGGGGCACGAGTGCTGCCCCTCCCTCGCTGCACCGCCGAGCTGTCGCCTCGTCGTGCATGTCGGTGTATGTACAGATCGCCGTCCGGCGAGCGGGTGACTTTGACCGGTAAGCAGTCCGTCTCGCCTCTTGGTTCGCCGATGCTGACGCAGGGACAGGGCGCCGAGACTGGCGTGTCGTGCGCGCCGCTAGTGTCCTACCGGGTGAGTGTGCATTTGTGCTGAACTTGTGACGGCACTAATTGCATGTGCGAGGACGAGGCGCGTCAACGACCCGTCTACTGTCGTCACAGGCCGATGTCGACTCTTCGGTCGTACCTCGCAGTCGCTCACGAGGAGCCATTCCACTTGGTGAGTCGCCCGTCGCGCGTTGGCAAGCGGCATGTGCTGACAAATCGACAGGGACCGTCGCGAAGACTATTAGGGGTTTAACGAGATGGCATTGACTGTGTATGTACATGCGACGACCGACGGACGAGAGGGACGCACCTGTGGTGGGAGGGCTACGCGTTGCAGTGTGCGACGCGTAGAGGGCCTCTCTTTTTTTGTTGTTGTCTCGTCAGCATGTACATACCGGGACCCGTCTGCGCGTGGCAGAAAAAGTTTCAGCACCCCATAACACGCGAGCTCCCTGCGGGGAGGCGAAACCATGCCCGAAAAAAGGACGTTTTTGGACTTGGGAAAAACGTCGCGTTGTCTCTCGCCAGCCAATCGCCGTGCTCGCACGTAAAACACCCACGCCCGCCGTGCGACGATCCCCGCCCCGCCCCCACGCCGCACTCCCACGCGTACTTCCCACGAAAAGCACACACATTCGGGTGCTGCTAAGTACGGAGATTCTGTAGATCTTCATCTTCGTCCAAGGCATGAAGGTTAAGCTGATGGGCATAACCCCGCCAATCGGGAAGCTCCGCCCAGAGATGGTGATGAGGTACTGCATCTGTGTGTCCCACTGGCGTTCGACGATGATGCTCTCCGTCTCCTCGAGGTCATCTTCCGACGGACACGTAACGACCGTGATCTCCTGCGCCGCGGACATCTTCGTCGTGAACGTCCCCGGCCGGTGCGCATACGCCTTCAGCTTCCACGTCACGTGCCCGAGGTCGCAGTGCAGCGTCGGCGGCGAGCTCGCGGGGATCGCGAAAGAGATCGGCCATGTGTACGTGCCTTCACGACGGCAGGACCGCAGATGGACTAAGTTGAGCTTCGGGGGTAGACGAGCCGTAAGGAGCGATGCTCACCTTTTTTGAACTCCTTCCAGCCTTCTCCCCACTCTTTCCCATCCTCGCCGTCTAATCCCAGCACTTCGCTGACCCGTTCGAGGGTAGAGCGCTCGCGGTCCCTCGCAGGCGCGCCCTCCTCATCGTCGTGGAACACGTCTTCGAATGGACGCTCGCGCGTGCGCCCTCGAGGGGGCGTCGCGTCGCCTCCGTAGCCATCCGGGAACGACGACCGCGAGCGTGAGCGCACACGGTCCATGACGACGTCCAGCAGCGCGTTCGACACGTTCGCGAAGCTGAACCGCTTGTGCTTCCGTCCGCGCCCGTCGTCCGCGTGCTCCCGGAGGTCCGACGAGCCTTCGCGCTGATGGCGCTGATGGCGCTGGTCGGCCGAACGCGAGAGCGAACGTTGCGTGGCCGGCGCGGACGCAGGCGGGGTGGGCAGAGGGCTATGGCTGCTCCCGACGAGGAACTCGGGGCGCTCGTCGTCGAGCGACGGGCGCGCAGATTGCGAGTGCGAGCTGCTGGTTAGGCGCAGGCTAGACGCGGAGGACCCGCCCATCCGGTGAAGAGGAGACGGGTGTCGCGCAGATGCGAGGCCTACGGTGTGGTCAGTACGCGTGTACCCGGGGACGAGTGAAAAGACCCACTGCTGCGTTCCGTGTCCGGTTCGGAGCTGCGACCCTGGCCGTACTCGTCCGCAGACGACGCAGCCTCCTGGGTGGGTAGCTCGTCGACGGTGTTCATGCGATGCGAGACGGACGCGGCGGGGGTGAGGAGCGTCGGACTGAATGCATGCTGTGGAACGGTCTCTGCGGTCGGTGTGTAAGGGGGTGAAGCAGTCAATATAGGGGGGAGGCCGTTGTCGCGGTGCGCGACGTAATCACGCTGGAAATACGTCTGGTCGACGCTCATATTTCGCCTCGACGCGAATGCGTTGTTCACAAGTGCCGGTGGCGGACCTCGGTCACGGCCCCTCCGCTCATCACTGGGCGGCCGGTGAACCGTACCGTGCATATCTTCACTCGAGGATTCGGAGCGGTCGTCGTCATCACGGTCGAGCGCAATGCCAGGACCCACGGAGAGCGTGCGCCGGCTGTTCCTGTATGGTGTCTCCGAGCCAGCGCGAAAGAGGATATATGACTGTGCGTAGATCTCGTGCTCCTCGGTGACTTCGACACGGCGCGCGCCCACTCCTTTCAAGTGAAGAAAGAGCGGTGAGAAACTCCCAGAGAACGGCGGCAGTTTTGCGACATACCTTCAGGCCAGGCCGTGCTCGTCTTTCCCACCAGCTCGATTTCAATGCTGGAGATCTTCGTCGGCTTGACGAGCGTGAGCGTTAGCAGCCCACGAAGCATGCCAGGAGGGGCGTCGGCCTGCATGTTGCGGGGTCTGCCGGTGGCATCTCCTGCGCGGAGGAACACCACGGACTCTGCGAGACGGATGTCGAAGGCATTCTTCTGGGGCTGTTTCGTCGGCGTAGGCATGTATACCGGAGACCAAGAGGCAAGGAGACAAGAGGCGGTGGCCCGAGGCGGCGGTCGTCCTAAAATACGGGGACTGGAGTTCCGCTCCGAGTGCCTGTCTGCACGGCCGATCAAGATCCGGCCAAAGCGGACGTCAGTCGCAGAAAATGGCAGAAAAAATCGATAGCGGTGCATGTGGACTCACCAACGTGTTACACCCGGTACTGTCGGTTCTCGGCCACGGTCGCAACAGAGCAACGAGCAACGTTTCTGGCTACAGCTCGTCCATGGGTTGTGAGAAAAAGGCTAGACAGGGGCGAGTCACGGCCCGATATCGTCACGGGATACTCACTGTTATGGTACTCTTCCGCGAATTGTGTTCTCTCTGCCAGCGTTGGCGCAATTCGAATGTGTTGGCGCAAGGGATGATGAAAGACTGCACCGTTATCACCGCATAGAACACGGATGCGAGACCTTGGCAGTCTGAAACTAAGCGGTGCTCGCCACAATGCTCAGTTTGCTTGGAGAAAGAGGGAGAGTGTCAGGTCACATCATACAAATACAGCATACTTCAACCACCTACCTGATGAGTGAGAGGGAGGGCTCTGCAGACCGCTGCATGCAGCTCGTCCGGCGAGTGCACGTGACTGGTATGACGGCCTCGCGAGCAGGTTTGCTGTGAACTTTGGGTGAACATCTAAGCTTCATTGGCCGCGCAACATACTTAGCTAACCTGGAGCAACTTGAACTGGAGCCCCGACCATATGTACAGCAGATGAGGGGTGTCCAGATTGGACCTACCTTCGCCTTTGCCCTCCGGATCGGCGCGGAGTCTGCGGACGTGTTCGCATATGTATGCACGATCGTCGTCGCGCGACGCTGCATCCCTGGCGCCGCCGTCCTCGCCAATGCATGCTGCCGTCCCGTCCTCGCTGCTGCGGCGCGTCCCTTGCCAGCACCGTCGCGTCTCGTCCGCTTGCTGCTGTTCTCCGACTCTCCTCTTCTCTGACCCTCCGCCGCGTCTCTCGCCCTCGCCGCGTCTCTCGCTCTCCCGCCCCTTCCGCTCGCACCTGCCACACCTCCCGTTGTCCTGGCTGCATCCGCCCGCCCGAGACGCGTCCGCCGGTACCCACAACGCACCGTTTCCGCTCGTTTCCAAGCACAGAGGTCCGTCTTCACCTTTTCTTCCCGGATCGCACGCATTCATCCACAACACTCATCTCTCAAGCTCTCTCCCCGACTTGCTTCCGCCTTCCCCCGCCCCGAACACGTCCGCACTTCTCTACCTGCGCACCTCCGCGCGACGCTCACGCATCGTGCCATCCTCTCTCCCCACTTGTTGGGCGCGACTTTGTGCACCGGATCGCTCGCTACACACCGTTCTCTGCAGCACCGCCAAACAAGCGCCCGTCAGCCT